GGAGCCGGTCAAAGAGAGGAAGTGCAATGTATCTGTCGACGAGCTGTACCGGCCCCAGACTCCGCACATGTTGTCGCCGACTTTGTTTCACTGAATAGGGACTGCCTGGGCACAGCCTGGCCCGCCACCCTCGCCCAAGGATCGGCACCGTGACAGGTCAATTTATGGCCCCGTGCCTAAATAGTTAAATTTTTCAGCGGTTCATTTTGGAGTTGTGAAACTTGCTCAGATGGATTCAACGGGCCATTGCGGTGTCAGGCGACTAAAGATTCAAGTTCTTGCGACTATTTTGACCTAGGCTGTCCCGAACGTAATCAAGTCCGGTGGCGGGGCTAGTACTGGAGAGCTAAGGTCAAAATGGTCGTAGAACTTTATTTTTGAGTTGCCTGAAACCACAATCGTGCGCTGGACCCCATTCGCCAAATCCTAAAACTCTAAAATAATCCGTTCAAAAATTTAACTGCCGGGGTCTGGGGCCCATAAATCGGCCTGTCACGCTGCCGACCCTTCGACTCATCGGCTCCGGCGCGTGAATGAGGCGGGGGCGGGGGGCCGGCAGGGGGGCCCCGGCGCAGAGACAAAGCAGAGGGCTGCATGCAGGCAGCCAGGAGGGGCAGGGGCGGGGGCAGGCGGGGGTCAGCATAGCCCGTCTACGACAGTGCCTTTTCAAAACTCTGCGAGATGACAAAAATCACCGTGCAGAGGTCTGCGGTCTACCGGGTTTTGGCCTCTAATTTTAGTCGCACAGGAACGGGGATATCATCACTGGAAAGAGCAAATGTCAATCTAGAACGTACCATCGCCCTTTTTTCGATATTCCCATTTTCTTAGGACGTGTTGTGAACGAAAGTTGGACCAGAACTGGACTGCCCTGGGGCCTAACTTAGGCGTTCAAAAAAATTTTTGAACGCACCGTCATTGAGATTGATCCCTTCTGAGCCCGTGTGCCAAGTTTCATATCGATACCTCGAACGGTGTGGCCAGGACGGCGTTAGAAAGAGGTCCCTGCGCGTCCCTGGAAATGCCGCTTCTGGGGAGGTGTACCATATCCTCTTAACAAGTTGGCGTCGAGAAAAGTTGCGAATTCGCTAAACAGCAGAAGCCATGGGTGTCAAGAACTGAAAATACGGCGTTTTTACCCCTTTTTTCTCAAAAATGGCGTCTCTGTGACGCTTGGATGGTCCTGTGGCACTTTTCCTACCAGAATGCGTCTTTCTGCATTAAGTTAAGTCAGTTAGAACAATAAAATATTTTTTTCCCACTTTTCGATCTTTCATTACACTGTGCAGCAGTGCGCGCAGTGCGGGGGAAGAGGGCGCCGAGGTGAGGGGCGCCCCAGATCCAGATTGCCATTGCGGCGCCAGATGCTCTTTTGCGATTCCGAGTGTCGCACCGAGCGGCGTACGTGAGCCGGTTGTTAATGACCCGACGCGACGCGTCCCCGGCAGACGGCACTCAGAACAGTGCATCGTCGCCCCGCCTGTCTCTCTCGCGCCGACGCGGGACTACGCGGGGCGCCCCGTGAGTGCGAGAGGGACGGAGCGACGGTGCTGCGTGGCGCCACAGTCGCGGAATGCGCGCGGGGCGTCGTCGGTGGCGTCGGCGTCGACGCGAAGGACACCGGTAACCTGGACTCGGGGCCAGCACACTGGTAAACACGTATTTTTTCCCTCCGCACTGTAAGTTTTAATTTTTTGACGGGTTTTAGCCGGACTGGTTCCGGAGTGGCTGCCGATAGATCGGATCTGGCCGCTAATGCGTCCGTCCCGGTCCGTCCCACACCCGCCTCGTCCTGCAGGCTGCCTCCGCACACCGGCGCTCTGTCTCTCTCGCACTCGCGGGGCGCCGCGCAGGGCCGCGAGAGAGACAGCGCGCCGCCTCGGAACGAGACCGCTTTTGGCCCAGATCACCGCGTTGGATTGACGGCCTGCCCGCCGCCCGCGTGCAGGTCTCCGGCCGCGCAGTGGGCCAGAAGACCGGCGCAGGCGGACAAAACTCTAGACGCGTTTTGAGCTCCAGAGTCGCTAAGCAGGCCTCGAACCGAACGTGTGACCCCACCAATGGATTCCTCGTTCGGAGAGCAATCCATTGGTGGGGTCACACGATCGGTTCGAGTCCCATTCAGCGACTCTGGAGCTCGAAACGCGTCCAGAGTTTTGTCCGCCTGCGCTGGTCTTCTGGCCCACTGTGGGCCGCGCCCCGCCGAGCCAGGCCGCCGAGCCAGGCCGGCCTGACCTCTACCGGAAATGGCGGCAACTGCAACTAGACACCTGCTCATTTAACCGGGCCGACCTGACTAGGCCGACTAGGCTGGACTAGGCCCGGCGGGGGGCGAGGCGCGCGGCCTCCAACGAGACGAGCTTGGAGGAGGAGGAGGCTGCTGCGAGAGGAAGTGCGGGATCAGCCCACCGTCGATTCCTTACGGTGGCGCGGCCTCGATGAAACAATTCTGATTCGAGTGTCGGTCAGTTTCGATGTGGTAGGATCCCTGTGCGTGGCGCTCTCTTACAGCCCCGCGGCCACGCGAGCACCGCCTTGACTTTTTGAAGCGCCATGCGGCCGTCAGACGCACGACGGATTTCGCACGGCGGTTCGTCACTCTGTCTCTCTCGCACCCGTCCGGGGCGCCTCAAGAGTGCGAGAGAGACAGGCGATCAGCGACCGTCGCTTTTATCGTCGCCCGTAAAGCGCGGACGCACCGCGGGGGAGGCACTGCACTGCCAGGGAGGGCCTTGTTGATGAGCACGAGCACTCTGTCTCTCTCGCACTCCAACGGGACGCCCCATGAGTGCGAGAGAGACAGGGTGGCGAATGAGCGCGCGCGCTCGCTGCGCGTTTGGCAACGCGCATCGCTGTTGCAAGAGCGTGACTGCATCGCTGTGAACAGTTCGACTTTTTCTTTTTCGTGCTATAAAGGCGCGGCGCGGCTGACGCGAGTATAGCAACGCGTCTGAATTAGTTGCCACTGCAGAAAGAAAAAAAAAGAGCGCGCTCAAGGATGCCTCATCGCGAGTGAATGGAGCTGGATAAGACACACACGCACACACTCACGCAAGCACGCAGAAACGAACACACACGCACACACTGGTAAAAGTGCGGTGGAAGCTCTGCTTTCGTACCCTTGAAAACGCAACGGCTCGTTGGCCCTGTCGCGTGTTGTACTCGATGGATTGTGTCTCTCTCTCTCTCTCTCTCTCTCTCTCTCTCTCTCTCTCTCTCTCTCTCTCTCTCTGTCTCTCTCTGTCTCTCTGTCTCTCTGTGTGTGTGTGTGTGTGTGTGTGTGTGTTTGTGTTTGAAAAATGGTATGAAAAATCGCGGTATGAAAAATTGCAGTGTGCCAGGATTGAAACACGATGATGCGCGGTGCGGCTGGGGCTTTCTCATCATCGCGCTGCTGATGGCTGTATCATAGTATCCCTTGTCATCCACTCGGATTGAACGGCCGACGGCAGCCACCCCACTCGGTTCGGTTTCCGCGTAGAAAGCATGCCGTGCATTGGCGTGCAGAGCAGCGCGTCATTCTGACGAACATCGTACCGGCCCCGCACAGTGGGCCAGAAGGCCGGTGGAGGCGGCCAAAACTCTAGACGCGTTTTGAGCTCCAGAGCCGGTAAACAGGAGTCGAATCAAACATGTGACCCCACCGATGGATTTCTCGTTTGGAGAGCAATCCATTGGTGGCGTCAAACGTTCGATTCGGTCCCATTTAGAGACTCTGGAGCTCCAAAACGCGTCTAGAGTTTTGGCCGCCTCCACCGGTCTTCTGGCCCACTGTGCCACGCTGTCCGCATTGTCCGCCACGCGGCTTTCCAGCGCTGCTTTTATATCCCTCGCATTACATGGCATTACATGGCGATCAGCCGCGACGCCGGCGCTCCGCCGCGCGGTCGTTCGCGCGCCGATATTTTTCATACCCTGCGCCGAGTGCTGTGTTTTCCTTTCACTGCAGAGAGGAGTTTTTCTTTGTCCTTCTTTCTCCCGAGCCGCAACCGCATTGGCAAGGCAGATACTTTGACTTTTTTTGTTGCCCCGCGGTCCAGTTGGATTTCGAATCCCTAGCCGTAGTATATGTCGCGATTGCTGACTTTTTCATTACAAGCGTTATGTTTTCGTTTTTACTGGCTGCACTGAAAAACCAAACGTGTTCTAGACACTGGTGTGGTCAAATGGGTGTTATTTTGACCACATCAGTTGGTGTGGTCGAGACCATGTGTGTCACGTTTGGTGTGGGCTAGACCACGTTTTGGTGGGCGTTATTGCTTAATCGAAACGGCCATGAATAAAATAAACGCGATTGGTGTCGATTTCAGTTGGTAAGCGGGAATCGAAAACGACACGATTATCGAAAATCAACGATTAAGGGGGGGGACCGATTATTTGGTGGACAAAAGGGTTAATACTCATAATATTGTGTAGCGGTAATAGAGGTAGGAAACCATTGGCGCAATCGAGTGTCTGAGACACCTTCTTCGGCCTTAACTGAAAACTTCTCAAGACTTTTCCGCCGAATTGAACGGTGATGGAAGAATGACGTCATCCGACGTCACTCACAATCGACGACGTTAAATAACGGTCAATCCTTCGATTACCGAACCACTAATGAAAATTTGAAATAATGGGCGATTTTAAACTATAATCGATTATTTTCGTATTCGATTAATCGCACCGGCCAACTGGTGTGGCCTAGACCCGTCTGGGTGGTCAGACCACGTTTGGGTGGTCTAACCACGTTTTGGGGTGGCCTAGACCAGTGGGGGGTCCTGCCCGGGTGTGGCCTAGACCAAGGGTTTGGGGTTTTTTCTAGGGAAAACGTTTGGGGTGGTCTAAACCATTTTGGGGTTTTTAAAATTGAAGTGGTCGACCACACCATAGATGTGGACCACCGAAAAAAAATGCACTTAATTTTTCAGTCTGGTCCAAACGTGGTCGTCACGGCGGTCCGGCTTTCTCGCGTTTAGAGTCTCGACTGACGGTGGACGATGTGGGGTCGTTGGTTGCAGGCGTGGACTCGGTGTGCGGCCGGCTGCTCCGCGCGCACGCCAAGCACCAGGAGGCGGTGTTCGGCGACCTGCCCTACCAGGGCTGCCTCGTCACGCTGCCCATGGACGTGACCCGCGAGGACGTCCTGCACGAGGCCATGGACGTCATCCGCAGGCACCTCCCCGCCGGCCACGACGGTAAAGAAACCTTAAAAAAAACACCTCAAAATGTATGCAAAATTTGCTTTACTGATAGTTTTAATTTTCGTTTGACTTTTGGCAGGCCTGCACGCGGTGATCAACACGGCGGGGCTGTGCACCCGAGGCCGCCTGGAGGTGCAGGAGAACGTGCACTGGGACGCGCTGCTCAAGGTGAACGTGGTGGGCGCCCTGAGGACCGCCAGGGCATTCCTGCCGCTGCTCAGGAACAACAAGGGTGAGCTCTTTTTTTGTGAAAATGGGAACACCTTGCAATGCGATTAGCATTGGAATTTTTTTAAAATTGAAGTGGCCGCGGGTCGCGAGTCCTTTGATTGGTCGCGCCGAACAATGGGCACATAATTAATTATGAGCCTCGGCGTCCAGCGTGGTTCGGGTCACGGCGGTGCGGCCGCTCCGTCTCTCTCGCACTCTTACGGAGAGCGCCATGAGTGAGACAGAGACAGAGAATCGCTCTCCTGGCGGCCCCCTCTGCAATTAAATAGTTAGTCGGCAAGGCGTCGGCCGGCGCCGCGGACGATTAATCAGCATGCATGACGGCCTGCTGGACCGCGTGCGGGACGCCCCTCCGTCTCTCTCGCACCCCTACGGACGCCGCGCGAGCGCGAGAGAGACGGTGCCGATGTCGCGGTGCGTGTTGCGCAACGAGTGCTACTCGGCTTGCATGTTGATGGACGTGCTCACCGGCGCCAAGGACGCCAAGGACGCCAAGGACGGTCGGGGCGGCCCTCAGTGGGCCAGAAGACCAGCGGAGGCGGCCAAAACTCTAGACGCGTTTCGAGCTCCAGAGCCGCTGGATGGGACTCGAACCGAACGTGTGACCCCACCAATGGATTGCTCTCCGAACGAGGAATCTATCGGTGGGGTCACACGTTCGGTTCGAGTCCTGCATAGCGACTCTGGAGCTCAAAACGCGTCTAGAGTTTTGGCCGCCTCCGCCGGTCTTCTGACCCACTGTGCGGCCTTGTCTAAGTCAATCGCCCGCAAACGCCCAGAATCGACTACATCCGGTCGACGCCGTTTTTCAATTTTCAGACTTTTAGTTCGAAATGAAGGCAAAACTGTGGAACTCTACAGCCCTCCCCGGTCTTAACGGGGAGGTGTCTCTTGCTTTACTTTCGGTGCGTTTGCTTCAATTCGTGCTCTTGTTTTCTTGCAGGCCGCCTGCTGAACGTGGGTGCCCCCGGCGCGCTGGGCGGCGACGCGGGCGCGGGCGCCGTGGCTTACACCGCGGCGCGCTACGCCGTGGAGGGCGCCACCAACGCCCTGCGCGCCGAGATGGAGCCCCTGGGGGTGTCCGTCATCAGCCTGCAGCCACCCGAGGGCGCCACCGGCGAGGCGCTGTTCCAGCCGCCCAGGTCAGTCTCTCGGAGAAGTCCCGGCCACAGCGCCGGCCGGCGCCGGCTGGGTAGGCAACCCATCGAACTTCTAGGGCGTCGCGGCACAGTGGGCCAGAAGACGGGTGGAGGCGGCCAAAACTCCAAACGCGTTTCGAGCTCCAGAGTCGCTAAGAAGGTTTCGAACCGAGCGTGTGACCCCTTCAATGGATTCCTCGTTCGGAGAGCAGTCCATTGGTGGGGTCACACGTTCGGTTCGAGTCCCATTTAGCGACTCTGGAGCTCCAAACGCGTCTAGAGTTTTGGCCGCCTCCACCGGTCTTCTGGCCCACTGTGCGCGGACGTCGGCGGCGCCGGAAGGGCTGCCTACCTGCCGGCGGAGCGACGCTCTCAGCCGCCTTAGCACACGATAACACCGGCCTTCCTTCTTCCTGCCCCACAGGGAGGCGTCGGAGCACCACGACGTCCTGGGCGCGACGGCGCTGCACGCCGTGGAGGAGGCCCTGCTCAGCGACAAGCCCAAGCCGCGCTACCAGCTGCGCGAGCGCGTCGGCCTGCTGCGCGCCGTGATCCCCCACATGGCCGTCGGCAAGCACGCCGCCTGAGGGCGGCCGCCACCGCGCGCGTCGCGAGCGCCCCGATGTCTTCCGTGAAGACCGACAAGGCCGCGCTCGTGGACGCAATGTATCGTTTGCTCATTTTTACGCCAGCCATAATGTACCCAAGCCTGTCAGGCCTGTTAGTGCGAGAGAGGGGGAAGTCCAGCAGTGCGCGTGCCCGCTGGGACGCTCCACAGTGGGCCAGAAGACCGGTGGAGGCGGCCAAAACTCCAGACGCGTTTTGAGCTCTAGAGTCGCTTAACAGGCCTTCAACGAAGGTGTGACCCCACCAATGGATTCCTCGTTCGGAGAGCAATCCATTGGTGGGGTCACACGCTCGGTTCGAGTCCCATTTAGCGACTCTGGAGCTCCAAACGCGTCTGGAGTTTTGGCGGCCTCCACCGGTCCACTGTGTGCTCCCCCTGGCGCCGGCTGCCGAGCGGTTCCACACAGCGCGCTGCCTCTCCCTCGCACCCCGACGGGACGCCCCGCGAGTGCGAGAGAGACTGCCCGCTGGTGTAGGAAGGGTTGCCGACCTGCCGGCGCAGCGGGGCGCGGACAAGTGGAGACACCGCGCCGACATCTATTGTGCCACACTCTGGGCGTTTCGGAGAGAAGACTGAAGAACTGAATATCTAGATATTGTTATGTATGCGTGGTCATGCTTCATACGATGTGATATGAAGATCGTCCGCTTTATATAAATTTATAGTACAATAAATATATTTTAACTGGTTGTTTGGTTTATTTGACCTTCGTTCGAAGGGGGGGATAGCTACACTGAGAAAAACTGCTGTCACTTTATGACAAAAACGTGGATGATATATTCATCACTCTGGAATGATGACAATCTCATCACAAATGGATGACATTTTCACCAAAGCTCCATTACTTATTGCGTGGGTTTGACAACAATGCCATCAATAGGTTTGATGACATTGTTGTAAGGAAAATTAGCCTTGAAATTGTCATCAAGTGACGCCTCAAATTTTCACAGTGTACACAGCGTCCATTTTGAGAGTGGTGGAGGTGACACACTGAAAACTCCAACCGCAGGCAAGGAGCGGCGGAAGTTATTCACCGAGCGCATCTGTACCCAGTTCACCACCCTCTCGAGGCAGGCCACCCATTCGGCTTCACAGACGCCACCGAGGCAGGCAACCCATCGTGCGTGGCCACTGTGAAACTGTGAAAGGTAGGAGCAATGGACTCCGTCGAGGGTAGGCAACCCATCTGGCCGGGCCACGCTCTGTTCGCCGAAGTGCCCCTTCCAGGTAGGCAGCCCATTTAACTTTCTGTGGAAGGCTGCGACGCACCCGCCGAGGTAGGCACACCATTTGACGGGACTGGGTGTCTGGCCTGTGAATCAAACAGGCCGTAAGGCATGGCGCAGTTGCAGTCAGACGAAAAACCTTCGAAGGTGCCACTCACACAAATAAAGTTTCCAATCGAGGGGCAAACAACTTCGTCAAAATTTATACACCGTCATTTCAAATTCACGTTATTTCATAGTCCTATCAGCGTTATTTCAATCGTATTTCAACGTTATTCCGCGTTATTTCACGTTATTTCGCTTTTTCACGTTATTTCGCGTTATTTCACCGTTATTTCACGTTATTTCACCGTTATTTGACGTTATTTCAACGAAAATGTACACCAAAATTCAAGTTGTCTGCCCCTTGTTTCCAATGAATGCACTCGCTCTCCGTAATCGGCATGTTGGTGGTCTCACCCTGTCCGACGGTGCACTTGTGTGTACCACTGTGAGTGCACACGTTGTTGCCGGGCGTGTCTTATGTCAGCACGAAGGCGTCCCGAGCGGACTGAGTCGTGAGGCCAAAACGGAACGGAACGATGGCCCTCGATACTCCCCTCCACTGTTATTACTGAAGGTGCGGAAGTGGCGGTGCGCCGGCATGGCCAGTCAACTCATCGCCTGCGACCCCAATAAGTACACCAAGTACGCCGAGCAGACCGAATGGTTTCGTGACGGGGCGCGTGGCGGCGCTCTGTCTCTTTCGCACCGCCACGGGGCGCCCCACGAGTGCGAGAGAGACAGAGCGACCGCGATGAGATCACAGCGCTGCGCGTGCTGCGCGTGCCCCCCGGGCACGTTTTCCACGTAATGGGAGTGGCCGGGCCGATCTCTGGCACCTCCAGCGTCACCGCAGGGCTGGTCGCGCCGTCTCTCTCGCACCTGCGGGGCCCTCCGTTCGGGTGCGAGAGAGACAGAGCGACGGGGCACTTTTTATGATTGCTCCGCTGACGACCGCCCTACTCCTACAGGCGTAGCGTCGCCGGGCAACAGGAATGACCTGGTTGACGAGACGAAGCTACCCCACGCTGCAGTGGGGCGCGGGGTATCGCCGAGTTGTTCTCACTGCACCGGGTGATTCAAAATACTGGCATTCATTCCAAGTGCCGTCCGTTTCTCTGAGCGGTTGTGCATAGTGAGGCAAACCGAGCATGCGCGGATGGACCGGCCGGCGGTTCAAAAATGGCTTCGATTCGTGCAATGGCTAGTCGCGTTCTGCAATGGGCAGGTTGTGCAAGTGAGGAAGAGAGCATGCGCGAGAGAGACGAGCCGAGAGGAGTAGGAGGGAAGAGAGAGAGAGAGAGAGAGAGTTCGTGAATGGCTAGGGAGAGAGAGAGAGGAGAGAGAGAGAGAGAGAGAGAGAGAGAGAGAGGAGAGAGAGAGAGAGAGAGAGAGAGAGAGAGAGAGAGAGAGAGAGAGAGAGAGAGAGAGAGAGAGAGAGAGAGAGAGAGAGAGAGAGAGAGAGAGAGAGAGAAAGGGCCAGGAATCACGGAAGGTGTCGTGTCAGCTTGTGTTGCCTTTCTTCCTCCTTTCGCAAGGGCGGCCGGCCGGCAGGTACTGGCGTTGGACAGAATGAGTCGTTGAATTTTTCATCCCAGCCCGTGGCGCTGGCGGCGCTGCCGTCCAAGCGCGCGAGACGGTAGCACATTCCTTTCTTCTTTTTTTCTTGTCAAACCCATCTCGTTGCGCCAATCGCTGCATTTCTCCGTCGGGTTATCCCGTGGGAACATTAGCACCTGTCTGTTCATGCGGTCATGAATATGATAATGCTGGGAAGGGAGAGGAGAGACAGTGGAAGTACGGCACTTTGAGGTCGAAAAGTCACTTGTTGTCGGTTGCGCTGGGTCAGGGTTTCTAGCAAACGCGAGCAAACGTGTCTTACTGCTGAACCACTGAGAATGCCAAAAGCCCAGCGTGGTCGCTGGTTCGTTCTGCAGGGAGCGAAAGAGGGGATGTCGCTTTTCAGTCGGTCATGTTTATTCGCATCATCGTCAGTCTCATTCACGCTCGTCTTTCTTTGTCACACAATGCCCGTCGCATGGAGATCCAATGGTATTCTGCTTGACGTCATGATCAAATAGTCCCGCTACAATCATCACCACAATCCTATCCCAACGCATCACAATAAGGTAGAATTACTCTAAAATTTATAAATACACGCGCTGCTGTTTTCGGACCGGCATCGACTCGACGGCTTTTGCAAGTGCAGCCGGTCGATCCAACGTCGTTCTCTGACTTCAGGGCGACTCCGCACTGCGATTTCATCGCTCTGTCTCTCTCGCTCTCATGGAGCGTGCCGTGCGGGCGCGAGAGAGACAGAGCGATGAAAGCGCTGTTAGGCCCCTCAGGGGGCGCGCCGTGGCCGCGACTGTAGTCTGGGCGGCGCCATCATCTGCGAGGGCTGCGGCTGCGGGGGCTGCGGGGGCCGCATCTCCGGGGGCGCGCTGAGGTCGGGGGTGGTGGGGGGCGGCGGGGGCGGCGCTGGGTCCCTGGGCTGCGGCGCGTGGTAGAAGGGCTGGGGGTGGTAGTCGTCCAGCGGCAGCGGGTGGCCCAGCGGCGGCAGGTCCAAGGCGTAGTTGTTGTTGTTGTTGTCCTGGTCCGGCGGCCGAGGCCGGAAGTCCTCGATGGGCAGCATCACGATGTCGTTGGCGAGGACCTCCCCGCCGTGGTGCTGGAAGGACGGCGGGTGCTGCTCCAAGTGCTGCGGCTGCGGCGCCGGTCCCGGCGGCGGTCCCGGTGGAGGCCCTGGTGGCGGCGCGGCCGGGCCGTCGTGGTGGTGGTAGTGGTGGTGGTGGTGGTGGTGCACGTGGTGCCCGTGGGCCTTCGCGGACTCGGGGATCTCGGAGTACAAGTGTCGCACCCTGGAGGGAAAGTGAGATAAATGTCCTGAGTCGGATCTCCTACACTGCAGGGCTCTGTTTCGTGCTCCGCATTGAGTCAACACCGACCTGACGTAGGTCTTCCCCGGTGTGGCCGCGACACCCAGAAGCACCATCGCCGCCGCGCACGCCACCTGTCGACGGGAAAGACGAGGGCGTGAGCACAACACTGCTTGATGCCCTGGAGGAGGTCAGGTCCAGCCTTTGCAAAAGCAAAGAGAGGCGCTATGTGGGACTCACCGCGGCGTGGGGGCGGGCCGTGGTTCCTGTCGACGGCATGGCACTCGAGTGAGTCCCCCGGGTGGCTCTGCCTGCTATATATCGGCGGGGCGGCGGGGCGTGGCAGGGCGGCCAGGGTGGCGCCGCCAATGAGTGGCGACGCTAGTGCTGCCAAAGGCGGCATTGGCCAATCGTGTCCCCCTCAGCCCTAGAGTGGCGCATCCCGTATTCCGCGCCCGAAGAGCCGCCAGCCGGCACCGCGGCCAGCTGGCGGGGCTGTCTCACTCCGTCTCACTCGCACCCCGACAACGCGCCCCATGAGTGCGACAGGGACACGCCGAAGAAAGCACTGTTCGGATTCGGGCTGCGGTAGCGCGGCGCCGCCAACGCCGTCCGTCCGGACGCAGCCGTGATCCAACACGCGCGAGCGCCCACCGCGTCAGCACGTGCACGTCGTGCGCGCCAAGACCGCCGGGAACGCCAGGGGGCGTGTCGGTGTCGGAAGACGAGTGTAGCCGATCGGGGCAGAACACCCCAGGATATCCAAGGGTCATAGATTCCAGGGGTAAATCACAACACAATGGTAAACGTATTCCTGGATGCCACGCAGCAAATTTGATACGTGGCAAACTTGATGCGTGGCAAACGCCTTTCGCTTACGCAGCAAATATGCGTTGACACCCGCCAAGAGGTTGCCACGGATTGCTTGGCCCTGTTAGCGAGCAGGAAAGAGCAAATAAATGGCGGGACTCGAACATTCAACCCTTTCGTTCAACGCTCTCGCCTGCCAACGACTACGGTGTGCGGCTGGTCAAGCAGGGCACTTGAAGACAGTTGTGCCGTGTCACAGAGCGCACGTCAATGCAAAGTCCACAGCAGTCAGGTGTGAACATTTGTCATAAAAGAGGTCGCACAAACGATGTTCTCCGCCCAAGCTGCCCCCTCTGCCTTGCCCCGGCTGTCGTTGGCCTTCTTGGCGGGCGGGCGCCATGCCACGGCGTGCCACGGCGGCCCTCAGTTTCACTTTCCGTGGCGAACGGCGTGGCGTGGCGCGGCTATCGCGCCGGTCAATCAGATGCTTCGCGGCCACCCCGCGGCGCCAGGTGCACAGCACTGCACAGCACTGCACAGCACGGCCGCTGCGCTCCATCCAGCACACTGCACAGTGGGCCAGAAGACCGCTGGAGGCGGCCGAAATTCTTAACGCGTTTTGAGCTCCAGAATCGCTAAACAGGACTCGAAATGAACGTGTGACCCCATCAATGGATTCCTTGTTCGGAGAGCAATCCATTGGTGGGGTCACACGTTCGATTCGAGTCCCATTTAGCGACTCTGGAGCTCAAAACGCGTCCGGGATTTTTGACCGCCTCCACCGGTCTGGCCCACTGTGCACTGATTCCGAGAGTCGTCGCTCTGTCCCTCTCCAACTCACAGGGCGTCCTGTACAGGTGGAAGAGAAACAGAGCGACGACGCTCGGAATCAGTCTGCAGGACGCGTTTCGGTGTCGGTCCGCGGGGGGTGCTATTCGCTCGCTGTGCTGCGTTACCGCCGTTACCGCGTGCTCGAGGACCCAGCGAAATGCCTTGGCTACTTCCCGGGCCCGCAAGACCGGGCAAGACCCTGCCGCCTCGGGCGCCCGTCGGGCGGAGGATCTCATTTGACTTCCGTTGTCCGGGGCGCCGTCGCCGCGCGCATTGCGTCAGGCGTATACGTCGTCGCCGCGACGAGGATTGGCCGCGCCGTTCACCGCAAGAGTTGTAGCAGTCAAAAAATGACTAGCGTGGTCCGTGCCACCGCTGCACCGCCCAAACAGTGCCCGTCCAGGTAGACGCGGTGCTTCCCCTTGTGTAACGCCTGCAGCGCTTGCAGCCCTGCAGCTTGCACAATCCCTTTGACCCGGCGGCCTGTCCGGCCTGACCGGCCTGTTCGCGCCAACTGGCCGAGCGGGGAAGCCCCGTGAAGCTCCGCGAAGCTCTGCGAAGCAATGCTGCGAGAACTTCCACCGCGGCCGCCGCTTCCTGATGATCAGCATCATCGTCGCGGACCCTCACGCCGCACCGCGGGGAACCAGCGATGCCGCTGCACACCGAGAGCAGCGAGAAGAAGAAGGAGGAGGACGTTGCCATTTTTTGGCACGGCAGAGAGTCAGTGGAAACTGATTACAGTAGTGCAATGGTGCATCCTGTGATCCTGTCTCCTCGTGCCCGGCAGTGGTTTCCCGGGGTTGAATGGATGAAACGCGTTTAGCCCACCCCGTGCTGGGTCGATAGGTCACGCGGCAGGGACTGCTTTGGTCACGGCCCGCTCTACTTCGGGCAGGCTGTGCGTTGAGTCAGAGCAGTCTTCTCCCCATCATCATCATCATCATCATCATCATCATCATCACGATCATGATCATCAGCATCAACGCTACAAGAGCGTCAATAAGCACGCGGCCTGTTTCCGTGTTTTAAGAGCGGCCGGCGATGGTTCATCGTGGAGGCCGTGGGCGCCGTGGGCGTGTTGGGCGCGTTGCACAGTGGGCCAGAAGGCCGGTGGAGGCGGACAAAACACTAGACGCGTTTTGAGCTCCAGAGTCGCGAAAAGGGACTCGAACCGAACGTGTGACCCCACCAATGGATTGCTCTCCGAACGAGGAATCTACTGGTGGGGTCACACGTTCGGTTCGACTCTGGAGCTCAAAACGCGTCTAGAGTTTTGTCCGCCTCCACCGGTCTTCTGGCCCACTGTGCGCGTTGGCGCGTTGCGCAGGACGGCCAGGAAGGGCGAGCAGGGCGCGCGTCGTGGGACCGCCGGACTGCCGCGCCGTGTGTGTCCAGATCCTTTCCCTGGAGGGCCATTGTTGTCCCGCGGTGCTTCCCGCTCGCCGGGACAGTATGCAAACAAAATCTCGCCTGGGGAATCTCTTGCATCATGGGGCGGGCCGAGGCAGAATCTTTTGTTGGCTGCTGCAGTTCATGTTTTTGTGAAATGGAGCATTCAAAAGTGTGTTTCTTGCACCTTTTTTTGGACGGGCCTTACGCAGTGTTTGTGATACTGATGCCATCTTTGTCGGGAAGGGAGACAGAGTGACGAGGCCAAAAAGAAAAACGCCTGATTTTCTGTTCTTTTTATATAAAAAAAATAGCTTAGTATTTACAAACAGGTAACAAAAACAACAGTGGTCAACAACAAGAACAACAACAGCGCCCCGCGAGGGTGCGGCTTCCGCCATGCCGGCAGCGAAGGATGCGCCGGGGACTGCCATGGGGTCGCCAGGAGGGCGGCGCTGGAGGGGTGGGGCCCACACCGTGGGGGACATCACAGGTATGACGTTGCGTCAGTGAAACAGCGCGTCATCGGGTCTCGTTTGGGGTCATTTTCGGCTTCGTTGCTATCACGGACGACGGCGGAAATGACGGCGAGCAGCAGACGGATGGCACCAAAATCTCGAGGATGGCTTCTTTTGCGTGGGGGGATGATGAAGATGAGGGGGATGATGAGGACGATGAGATGATGAGGTGGACGGATGCAGGTACCTCGGTCGGTTGAGCAGTCTGTATCTCTTCTCCTACTTCTTCTTGTCCCAGCCTCCACCGTGGCCGCCTCCGCCGCCACCTCCGTATCCGCCACCGCCGCCGCCGTGTCCGCCGCCGCCGAATCCGCCTCCACCGCCGCCGTGGCCGCCGCCTCCGTATCCGCCTCCACCGGAGCTACCGAAGCCGCCGCCGTGGCCGCTGCCTCCAAATCCACCGCCGCCGCCGTGTCCGCCGCCTCCATGGCCGCCGCCGAATCCAGATCCTCCATAGCTTCCCAGGCCGCCGCCGCCACCGCCGCCTCCGTGGTGGTCGTCACCGCCTCCGTATCCGCCGCCGCCACCGCCTCCATGGCCACCGCCGAATCCGGAGCCACCGAAGCCGCCGCCGCCTCCATATCCGCCGCCGCCGCCTCCGTGGTGGTCATCGCCGCCTCCGTATCCGCCGCCGCCACCACCTCCGTGGCCGCCGCCGAATCCGCCACCGCCGTGGCCGCCGCCGCCGCCGTATCCACCGCTGCCAGAGCCGCCGAATCCGCCGCCGCCGTGGTGGTCATCTCCGCCTCCATAACCACCACCACCGCCGCCGCCGTATCCGCCGCCTCCAGATGCGCCGAATCCGCCGCCGCCACCGCCATGGTGGTCGTCTCCGCCTCCGTAACCGCCGCCGCCGCCACCTAAAGATGACATCAGCATCAATGGTCTTGTCTAAATCGCAGTGTCTGGAAGTTATTGATGTAAACTGTTTTTGCCGCACTTACCGCCGTGACCGCCGCCGCCATATCCACCGCCGCCGGAACCTCCGAAACCTCCGCCGCCTCCATGATGGTCATCTCCACCTCCGAATCCGCCTGAGCCAGAGCTTCCGTAGCCGCCTCCTCCTCCACCACCGCCATGGTGGTCATCGTGGCCGCCGCCGCCGCCGGGGGCGGTGAAGGAGACATCATCGTGGCCGCCACCGCCTCCGTAGCCGCCGCCACCACCTCCGCCTCCGTAACCGCCGCCGCCACCGCCGTGGCCGCCGAAGTCACCGCCGCCCCCGGAGCCGCCGAAGCTGATGTCGCCGCCTCCGTGGCCGCCGTGGCCGCCGCCACCGCCCCCGGGGCCGCTGAAGCTAATGTCGCCGCCGCCGAAGCCGCCGCCGCCACCACCTCCATGGTCGTCATGATGTTCGTGGTGCTCTTCGTGGTGAGGAGGAGGGTGATGCTCAGGCTCAGGCAGGTGTATTCTGATGTGGACGCTGTGGGGGAAAACAACCTTTAAGGACTGTTTCTCAGCTTCGTGATGTTACTGCGGTGAGATTGTTGACGATACTTACTGTTCGTTTCCGAACAGGCCAGCAGCTCCCAAAGCCACCATGGCTGCGAGGCAGGCACCGAGCAAGGCGCTCGAAAGCTGCGGACACCGGAAACCATCACTCGAATTAGGAATGTGAGATCAACACGATTCACAAATAAACGTCCCAGGGCCTCTAAAGTAGCTTTTCAAAAATTAAACAATTCAAAATCCACAGAGACTAGTTTTCCGAAAGAAAAACCCGAAGGCGAATGGTATCCATATCCAAGGCAGGTGTTATCCAAAATCCGGTGGCTGCGCTTGCTGTGCATTGTCTTGTCTGGAGCACTTTCACTTCTTCCACTTGGTTGTCACTGCGTTGTCACACTGCGTTGTCACACTGCGTTGTCACACTGCGTTGTCACTGCGTTATCACACTCTGCTTACCGCCAGCCTGTGCGCCATCTTGCTTGAGCGATGGGTGAAGCGGGGAGGTCTCTGCCGGACTGCTTGAGGGGCTCGGGGCTCCGTCCGCTTTTATACGTCCGCGCTGGCCGCGCTGGTCCTGGTCGCGAGGGAGGAGGGAGGGGTCCACCCCGCTGGGGCCCGCCAGCCCGCGCCAGCCTCCGGAGTCTGCAGGCCGGCCGGCCGGTCCGGCGGGGGAGGGGAGGGGGCGCCGGCAGCCGGAAGGAACAGCAGGCCGCTCCGGAGCGGTGCCTCGCGCTGTCTCCCTCGCACTCAGGGGGCGTCCCGCAGGCCCGTAGGGACGAGCGAGAGAGAGGCGCAGCCAGGAATCGAGCTGCAGGGCAGAGATGGCGACGGCGGCCGCCAGCCCCTGCCGCTCGCGTCGCTTGTGTGGTCCTGTCCTCCATCAAGTGCTCCGGGCCGCCCCGGGCCGCCCTGGCTTGGAATTGCTCAATTCCCCGAGCCAGCGCGGTGCGCTACTGGAGGCCGGGCCGTACCTCAGCGCCCCTTCCCGTCGACGTCGTCGGCGTCCTTGTGTTGTTGGATTTGAGTCATCGCGGGGAACCTGCCCGCGGCTCTGTATTTCCCATTGTTCTGCATCCTGGGCCAGCCTGGCCCTCCGGGCTGGGAAGGGAAGACCACCCCTTCCTTCCTGCACCGTGTGTGCCCAAGCTTCTGGTTCCCTGCCCTCTTCACCTCTGCCCTCACAGTGCGAGCGTGTGCGAGAGTGCGTGTGAGGAGGACGTGTTCCACGCGACGCGACTGTCTGCTGATGGATGGATAGATGGATGGACATGTGGAATAATTTGTACGCAGTTTCTTTTTCTGCCTGAGTCGACCAATCGTAGACTGAGTGATGAAGGGAAGAGACGTTACGCCATGGACGCGTTGCGCTGTGTGTGTGTGTGTGTGTGTGTGTGCACTGCTATTACTCGCGGGCACTTGACCTGGCCGCCTGTTCCTGCGCCGCTCCATATCCTCGAGGATCTCTCGGCGGTCCGGCACGCCTCGTCCGCGCACTGCAGAACTGATTCCAGTGTGTCGCCCTGTCTCTCTCGCACCCACGGGGGAGTACAGGATAGGACTGTGCGAGAGAGACGGGGCGACGGGGGCATGACAAGCGCCATTCACCGCCATCTGCACGCGTCGCCGCGGTTCCGCCGTTCTGCCCAAAAGCAGACGCGCGAGTTCAAAATGTGGCGCACGCGCGGCGCCCCGCCGGCCCAAGAAAGTACCACCAGTGTACCTCTTTAAAATGAAAAAAAAAGACAACAACAACAAAACAAGCACTCTTTCTATTTATTTTTGTTGTTGTCCTTTGCAAAGTTTTCGGAATTTTTAAAAAATGCCTTTTCTACAGTTTTTGGCAATTTCTTTGGGGTAAATTATATGTAATTTTCTGTAAGCTTTTAAGTTTTTTTTTCCAAAATTTTTTTTGTGAGTGTGGCCGGGCGTCTCGTCTTGTCCGCCCCGCCCGGATGGACCAACCGCGCTGACCCGCGGCCCACCCGCGCCATAGCCAGCGCGCGCGCCCGAGTTTCCCACGTGGCAGGACGGAATTAGGACACCTCTGCTGTTGTGTTGCCCGCCCTGCCTGCCTCGCCTGGACTCTTCTTGTGTTTCCTTCTGCGGGCCCTGCGCCTTCGCCCGACGACTTGGCCGAAAAAAAATCACCAATTTTTATACTTTTTTTTGAAAACACTTGTACTCCTCTGGCAAAAGAGTCACAGCAAAATGGATAAGTTGTTTGGGCTTGCTTCGGAAAGTGGACCGTCATCTCTTTGACTGACTGCCCTTGTTTCCGAAGAGTCGTTTCGTCGCTCTGTCTCTCTCGCACCCCCTGAGACGCCCCATGAGTGCGACAGAGACAGAGCGACGAATGGAGACTGCTGACAGAGGGCCAGTGGGCCAGAGGACCGGCGGAGACGGATGGGACTCGAACCGAACGTGTGGCCACACCAACGGATTCCTCGTTCGGAGAGCAATCCATTGGCGGGGTCACACGTTCGGTTCGAGTCTTGTTTAGCGACTCTAGAGCTCAAAACGCGTTTACAGTTTTGGCCGCCTCCACCGGTCTTCTGGCCCACTGTGCGCCGCCAGGCCGCGGCTCCTCCAAGCGCCACGTCGCCGTCCACGTCCGTCGTCCGCTCGGCTCTCCTGCGGAGAGTGAACCCACCGCCGCTCTGTCTCTCTCGCACTCCCGGGGCGTCCCGGCTGGGCGCGAGAGAGACAGAGCGGGCCGTCCTGGAGAACAACAAGGTGGATGTGGCGGCGCAGCGAGGCGCCTTCCGTGTCCGGGGAGTTTAATAAGGCGGCGGCTCGGCGGCACGTCTCGACGGGGAAGCCTCCACCAGCAACCCGCATCATCCAACGCGTGGGCAATCGGACTGACGGTGTGGACATCGTCGGGACAGCGGGGCCGTCCGTGGCGTTGGAGTCCTTCAAGGGCCGAGCCAGCCGTCACGTCAACGACAACGACAACAACAACAACAACAACAACAACAACAACAACAAAAGGAATTTTCATCTTGGAACGTCCTAAGAACGGGAGGAGAACGCAGGCAAGCTGAGCGAGTACGGCACGAAGTTGGTTCCGTGGTTCCTTCTCTTTCTCCAGGTGTGGACGAGACGGGGCGGGGCGGGGCACGGGCTATAGGGCTATGATGCGGATCGCCTTGCCAGGCTAAGGTTGCGGTGGCGGGGCCGCCGCGTTGTAGACTTAATTGCGCAAGAGGTCCAAATCCAACGAGGCCCGGGCTGCCCCATCACGCCCCCCCTCCCCGCCGCGCCAAAAGTGTGCACATTATAGTCCGAGCCCGGAGCGGGCACCATGACTGTGGGCTGCCGGCTCTGCAGGGCGACTCCGAACAACGCTTGGCCTCTATCTCTCTCTCTCTCTCTCTCTCTCTCTCTCTCTCTCTCTCTCTCTCTCTCTCTCTCTCTCTCTCTCTCACTCGCGGGGCGTTCAGTGCACGCGCGAGAGAGACAGGGTGACGAAACGCTGTGCGGAATCAGCGGTGCTGCCCTAACAGGCAGGCGCCGAGGCGCGGTTAGTTTGTGCAGGACGCTTTTTTCACGCGTCGTTTCCGATCAGACGCCGTGATAAGTAGCCACCGGCTTTTAGTCGGTCTGCGGCACTGTTACATTTGGCTAGCATACGGACCATGGTCCATGGTGCACGTGTGCTTTTGAGTTCGGTTGTTGTTGTTGTTGTTGTTGTTGTTGTTGTTGTTGTTGTTGTTGTTGTTGTTGTTGTGCTTCCTTTCGACATAGCGCTCTGGACGCCTGGGAGTTAGACTGTCCCGTAGGACGGGCGTGGTCCGCCTGGTTGCCTATGCTCTGATTGACGGGCGCTCCGAAGTGGGCTGCCGCCCGCAGCGTTGCACCGCGACCTCTCTCGTTTGCCCGCGACGGCAACCCGGAGTTCGACTCCGCCTAGGACGCCTTTCAGGATGTTGTGACGGCGCTGCCCGCGACTCACAGCGGTCTTTCGTCGTTCCGTCTCTCTCGCACTCCTGGGGCTTTCCGCAGGGGTGCGAGGGAGACGGAGCGCCGAAAACGACTCTCAGTGTGCTGGCGCCGGCCGCCCCGAGGCGCCGCGCACAGTGGGCCGGAAGACCGGCGGAGGCGGACAAAACTCTAGACGCGTTTTGAGCTCCAGAGTCGCTAAACAGGACTCGAACCGAACGAGTGACCCCGCCGCAATGGATTGCTCTCCGAACGAGGGATCCGTTGGTGTGGTCACACGTTCGGTTCGAGTCCCATTTAGCGAATCTGGAGCTCAAAACGCGTCTAGAGTTTTGGACGCCTCCATCGGTCTTCTGGCCCACTGTGCGCCGCGCCGCGGCGCTCCATCATCGCCTCGATAAGTTATTCAAACTCGGATCCGACGGAATCGGTGAAAGTGCTCAAAGATCGGCCCGGATAACCACACTCTTGACGCGACGTCAACTGCGTTCGTGACGCGTCCGCGGCGCCGGGCCGCCTGCCTTGTGGAACTACTCATGCGTCGCATTATCGGGGCTCTGTCTCTCTCGCGCTCATGGGGCGAGCCGCAGCGGTGCGAGAGAGACGGAGCGACTGTGCAGGGGAATCAGCCTGGGCGGCGGCTAACTACCCGCGGTTTAAACGCGCTCTTAAAAGCGAGAGGCGAGCGGGTAGAGCACCGGGCAGTCGGCGAGCTGCCGGACGTCCGCGGCGCGGCGCGCTCGGCCAACCTGTCCCCCGTGACAGGACGCTGCCGAGGACGTCGTCGGGGTTCGCCAGGAATTTTTATTATTTCTAACCACCGAGTCGTACGGACCGCCCCCTTTTTTATCATTTCCCCCGCGCGACAATGGTGGCGGCCCCGCGACACGTCGCGTACCGCCGTGATGGAGGAAGTGCGGGCCGCCATGGGAAAAGGGAGGGGGGAGCCTGTTTGAAGGATTGGCATTCCTAGGCCAGAGAGAGAGAGAGAGAGAGAGAGAGAGAGAGAGAGAGAGAGAGGGAGAGAGAAGAGAGAGAGAGAGAGAGAGAGAGAGAGAGAGAGAGAGAGAGAGAGAGAGAGGGAGAGAGAGAGAGAACGACGAAATGACTCCGCCGGGCGTGATGGCTAATGCCTCACCGATCCACTTGGGACCGCGGAGAGGAAGAGGTTGGAAAAAGGGGGAGGGGTGGGGGGGGGAGGCGAACCCTACTACACTAGGCCACCTCCTGCAGGCCTCGAAAGGCCACATTTGACATGATGAATTCACGTAAATCCTTACCAAGTATTTTGAGCATATTACATGGCGCAAACTAATTTACTTTGTTATACGAAGAAATAGTTCGTAAATTACGAAGTATTTTCTTCGTAAGCGGATGTGTGCTCAAAATAATTCATTATAACAAGCTTCCTTTTTTGTAAGGCCTACAATAGTTTGTAAGGTTTTCGCAGTGAAGTTTCCGGGTCGCGAAACCTCGTGTGCGCCTACACTGCACGGCCTGCACCTACGACGCAAAACCAGACCGGGCAATCCAACCGTTGTTGCGAACTTTCGCCTCCGGGCCCGCGGTCCCCACACTGGCGGGGCACGCGGCCGCGGGGTGGCACTTACTTCGGCCAACCTGCTGCCGCCGCTGGTCCGGGGCCACTTTTACCCGAATGGGGAGATTGTGCGCGAGCAGGCAGCGTAGTCGTTTCCGCCTCACTCTCATTTAGCAGACGTGTTGCAGTACGCAAACACAGCACTCTGTACATTTTCCCGCACTAAACTTCGGAGTTCTTTCGCAGTGCAGCTGCAATCTGGCTCGGCTGGGTCGTCCGCTTCTTCTCCAGCGCCTTCGCCTCCTCGGCGCCTCGGCGTGGGCGTTGGCAAGTCCTCCACTCGGTGCTGCAGGCCGCGGGGGCCGCGGGGGCCGCAGGCGGGCGGGACACTCCGGAAGTCCCTGCTCCTCCTCCTCCGCGACCGGCTGGACCGGGAGCAGGAAGGCTGAAGTGCTACACGCCCGGCGTTCGGTGTGTGCTCCCCCCCCCCCCCCTCTCGCTCCAGCGACTGCATTTCTTGGCGAAGACGCCATGCCGCCACCCGCGATCAGCTGCTCGGCTGTCGCGAAGCACTCGCCCCCCCCCCTCTCTCTCTCTCTCTCTCTCTCTCTCTCTCTCTCTCTCTCTCTCTCTCTCTCTTCTCTCTCTCTCTCCAACGGGACGCGGCTTGGATTGCACCTGTACGAGGAGGATGCGACACTGCACGGGGTTGAGCGGGGTGCCAACTGCTTTCTAGTCACGCGCGCATTGTGTGTCCGCGGTCCGATTCCGGAGGGTCGCTCCGTCGCTCTGTCTCTGTCGCACTCCCAGCGTGCCCCAGCGGTGCGAGAGAGACAGAGCGACTCCTCGAACTACTGCACTGCACGGTGCACGACATGGCCGACCCGTGCAGGTGACCGATTCAGGCGGCCTGTACCTCGAGAGCGTTCGGCTGGGACCGATCGAACGGCCAACAGAACGATCTGAGCTTTGTAAGCCCTTCATTGGTACTCGTGACAGCACGGCAACCAAGCACATTGATGGCACCAATGGATTTTCCATTCCAAGGGTCCGACACGAGGTCCGATATATGAGTTCTTCTCGACAACGGCAGGGCTCAAAAATGTCGAAATCAGCTATTTTCTCACCTTTTTCTCAGATGGCAAATGGTTCGTTTACAACCTGCCCCCTGGAGCGTTCGCCGGTCCATAATAGCTGCCGGCCCCCGCCTGCCGGTGCCCCGGTCGACCCGGCGCCTGTTGTGCCACGGGCCGCCATGCACGCCGTGCACGCCATGCACGATGTGGGTTATGTGCGGATGGGCCCGGATGGGCCGGTCGAGCCGGGCGGTCGAGGCGTCGGGATGGCCTGGCCAGGCCTGGGCCAGCCAGGGCACCTCCTCCGTGCATCCGTCATCCTGCGGACTGTCTGTCTCTCTCGCAGCCAAAGGGCGTCCCGCAGGAGTGCGAGGGAGACAGCGACGAAAGCACTGCCGGCCCGCCCGCTTTTTTGTTCCTTTTACCTTTTTCGCGTGACGTCACTGCGAGTCCATTAGCCCGTGGGTTGAGCTGGCCCGGGTCACGTGGGTTCTTGGGTCCGCACAGTGGGCCAGAAGACCGGGCGGAGGACAAAACTCTAGACGCGTTTTGAGCTCCAGAGTCGCTAAACAGGCCTCGAACCGAACGTGTGACCCCACCAATGGATTCCTCGTTCAGAGAGCAATCCATTGGTGGGGTCACACGTTCGATTCAAGTCCCATTTAGTGATTCTGGAGCTCAAAACGCGTCTAGAGTTTTGTCCTCCTACCGGTCTTCTGGCCCACTGTGGTCCGGGAGTCCTCGGGGCGGCCGGTGCAGGGGGCTCGCCACTCACTTGTTACGCAAGCGCACCGAATCCCCACCGGATGGGGTCAAGAGCCTCGGAGACAATCCGGTCCAGGTTGGCGGGCAGTAACCGCTTCGCGCACTCTCTCGTCGAGCGCCGCGTAGCGGGCCTTTCCCGAGCGTCACTGCGTCTCTCTCGCACCAGCGGGCCGCGTTCGGGGTGCGAGAGAGACGCAGCGACGAAAGCCTAGTTGAAGAAACTTTAAGAGTTCCACTGTCTATGAATGGAAGACGAGTCCGACTCGATGGATTGCCTTTCGAACGAGGAATTCGTCAGTGACTCGACTGCTACTTCGGGGCTAATACCTCGGACACCGTTTCTTACGCATGACCAGTCCAGGCCCTGGACACTGGACCCGGTTGGGCAACAAGGGTCCTTTTAGTACGTCCCTCTGCAGTACGAGGCGACGTTGTTACCCTGCTGCATAATACACTGTATGTGGGCAGCCCGGGCCGAAACCGCAGCCCGGCAAACTGGCAGACTGGGTCAATCGCACCTCTCTCCGTCCGAGGGTCCGAGCATGTCCGAGGGGCGACGTCACGTTTTGGGCCGTAATTACGAGTGGCGAAAACCACACCGCAGAGACAGACGGAAATCGGACGTATGTCTGTCTCCGCGGCCTCTCGAGAAAGACATTAAAAAAGTTGTCGAATTTTACGTTAACTGTTTGGAAGTTTATCTGAAGAAAATTTTTCCTCACACACTAAATGTTATGTACAATTTTGTACGAGACATCACAGTTTTTTGTGCACACGAAATTTTCGTACAATTTTCGTACGGAAAACTGCACATTTTTCGCCATTTTTGTACAAAATTTTACAAAATTTTACAAAATTTTGTACAAACTTGTACGAAAAGTTAGTAGTGTGCACAAAAACTGTGATGTCTTGTACAAAATTTGTACAAAAACATTAATGTGTAATATGTAATATGTAATATGTAAATGTGTAATACAGTTTCGACTATGTTTTAATTTTTCTTGTTCCCTTCCCATCATTTCTCCTCGCGACGGGCTGCCAACAACACCGCATCGCCACCTGGGCTCGCCGAGACTCGTTCCCGATCGCCCGCCGGGCTCCACCGCCGTCGGTAGTGGCCCAGATCAATACATAGTGGTCCACATTTTTTTTTGTTTCTCTCTCGTTGCTATTTGGGGCAGCACAGCACGGCGCTGCCACCGGTCGTGTGCGCGCCGGTCCTGGGCGACTGGAGTCGCCTGGAGTCGACTGGAGTCTCCAGCGCGCGTTGCTTCCAGGAACGGAAGCGCGCTCGCGGCACAGGCAACGCGTAGCAACGCGTCGGGGAATGACTTCAGCCCGCACACACACAATCGCCCAATCAATTCCCTTTGACAGAGGCGGTGCCGCTGAGGGGGCTCCGAACAGTGTGTCTCCCTCGCGCTCCTGCGCGGCGCTCCGTGAGTGCGAGAGAGACAGCGCCACGCCGTCCGGAAGCAGCCTGATGTGGGTCCGCGGATGCACCGCCCTGCGGCTTGGGCGGCGCGCTTTAATGTAATTCCCGTCGGACACACTCGTCCTTTTGTTTTCAGTGCAATCATATTACGACGGCCTCCCCGCTTTGCGACGGCTGGGTGTTACGCGCGGGCCGTGGCGCAGCGGGGAAAAGGGGGGGGGGGGGGACGGCCGTCGACGCGGGCACCACGGTGGGAACCTCGCTTTACCGCCGGGACTGCAGAGCGCTGCAGAGCGCTCCCTGACCTACCGCGTCATCGAGGCCTCTTCAGACTTGCCGTCTCGCCGCACTGGGTCGCTTCTCGCCCTGCCAGACCACGCCGTGACGGGTTTTCAAGTACCTCTTGGCAATTTTCAAGTTTTCAAGTGTTTTTCCAGTCGCTAAATGGGACTCGACCAAACGTGTGACCCCACCAATGGATTCCTCTACGAACGAGGAATCCATTGATAGTCCTGCTTAGTGACTCTGGAGCTCAAAACGCGTCTCGAGTTTTGGCCGCCTACACCGGTATCTCCTGGCCCACTGCGTGGGGTTGGCGCGGCGTGACGTCGCGCCGGCCCGGGGGGCGTGGTGCGCCGAGCTGGTCGGGCGAGCCCCCCGTCCAGGCGTCCAGAACCAGCTGATGTGCTGGCCGTGCCGGCCGTCGAGGCGCAGCGAGGCGGCTTGGCTTGCCGGTGGGATGCGGTCAGCGGCCTCTCTTTTTTCAACTCCTTATTCCTCCTCTCTGCCAATTACGCAACGCGGAGGGTGGCGGACGTGACCGCGCGCCACTTTGTGTGTGTGTGTGTGTGTGTGTGTGTGTGTGGTGTGTGTGTGTGTGTGTGTGTGTGACTGTGTAGGAGTGCAGCTTGCAGTGCAATGTGTACAACCAGGAAAGCCGGAAGGTCACGACGGAAAAAGGGGGCAGCCCAGTCGAGATTCGAACCCGGGAACGCACGACTCAATGATTCATCGCTGCCGATCGACCAAGCCGATATCCTTGCCGGCAGAAAAGCGAGCGGAGCGTGGTGAGGTGCTGCGGGTCCGTTTCGTCTGGGTGCTGGGTGCACAGTCCCCTTGCACGCGTCTCGCAACATGTGTGCATTTGTGTGCATGTGTGTGTGTGCGTGCGTTCGAGCCGTTTTTTTTTAATGAGCCGTTTTCGAGGGAAGAGCGGCGTCGGCCGATCGGAGGGCCTTTATTTCGGCGTTGCGTGGTTGGTCCGCGTGACCACCCGCCTTGCCGTCCGCCCTCGAGGGCCTCGTCTCCCTCATATTCGTGGCCTCCCTTTCCCTCTCGCTCTCTCCCTCCCCCCCTTCTTCCTTCCGCGGCCCGGCCATGGCCCGGCCGCCCAGCCCACAGTGGGCCAGTAGACCGGCGGAGGCGGACAAAACTCTAGACGCGTTTTGAGCTCCAGAGTCGCTAAAGAGGCCTTGAACCATGTGTGACCCCACCAATGGATTCCTCGTTCAGAGAGCAATCTATTGGTGGGGTCACACGCTCAGTTCCACTCCTGCTTAGCAACTCTGCAGCTCAAAATGCGTCAAGAGTTTTGGCCGCTTCCCTGGTCTTCTGGCCCACTGCGTGGCCGATGCAGGCGGTGTCGCTCTTACGAAAAGCGAAAGATTCATGAATAGAAGGCGGTGAACTTTGGCCGATGCGACGGTGGCGGAGCGCGGTCCGTCGGGGTGTGTGTATATCCGGTAATCTATGACGGCGGTGACGCAACTCCGCGAGGCACCACCCACTCCGACCGGCTAGCCGGAACCCGGCGAGCGACTCCCAACGGTCAATTCGTCGCTCCGTCTCTCTCGCACCGCCTCGGGACGCCCCGCGAGTGCGACAGAGACAGCGCGGCGAAGCTAACTCTGGAAGTCGAATTACCGCCGCTATCGCATTCGGCTGCCGGACTCTATGGGCTGGAACTCGCTTTGAACATTTTAACAGCCGCCTCGGGAAATGCGGCGTCGGCACCGCGGCGCGAACGGAAACCCGTCCCTGTCTGAAGTTCCCAGCGGCGAACGCCTGGCGGGTAGGCCGACCCGTTGCACCGCCGTGCGCTGGCGGCAGCAGGGTTGCCTACCCTGTGCAGTGCAGGCGCCTGGCGGGTAGGCCGACCCGTTGCACCGCCGTGCGCTGGCGGCAGCAGGGTTGCCTACCCTGTGCAGTGCAGGCGCCTGGCGGGTAGGCCGACCCGTTGCACCGCCGTGCGCTGGCGGCAGCAGGGTTGCCTACCCTGTGCAGTGCAGGCGCCTGGCGGGTAGGCCGACCCGTTGCACCGCCGTGCGCTGGCGGCAGCAGGGTTGCCTACCCTGTGCAGTGCAGGCGCCTGGCGGGTAGGCCGACCCGTTGCACCGCCGTGCGCTGGCGGCAGCAGGGTTGCCTACCCTGTGCAGTGCAGGCGCCTGGCGGGTAGGCCGACCCGTTGCACCGCCGTGCGCTGGCGGCAGCAGGGTTGCCTACCCTGTGCAGTGCAGGCGCCTGGCGGGTAGGCCGACCCGTTGCACCGCCGTGCGCTGGCGGCAGCAGGGTTGCCTACCCTGTGCAGTGCAGGCGCTCGGTTCCTGCCGGCCCGGCCCGAGGCCCGGCCCCTCTCTGGGATTGTAGTTTCCGGCTGCTGGCGCGGCTGGCGCGCTAACTGCCCAGACAGTTACCGCACGCCGCCCCTTATGGGGTCGCGACACTTGAGTGGCAGGTGGCGGAGTCCGTCCGGGCGTTCCGGTGCACTGGCCGCCCCGTCCCGGCCGCGGCCCGCGTCGCGGAGGTCAGGGGGCAACCGGTTTGTCGTCTGCGCGGTGGTGCGGCTCCCCGGTTCACCGGTTCACTAGTCGGCTCGACTCGGCTCGGCCAGAGCGCTCGGCTCGGCTCGGCGGCGACCCCGCTCGACTCGTCACATGCAATGCAAGGATCGCAATGACCTTTGATGCGCACTTTCTCCGCGGGCACCGCGCCCGGCCGGGACCTGGCCGCAGTGTGGGTCACGTAACACCGAGGAGGATCACACACACACACTTACATTCACACAGACACAGTCGGACACGTGGTGCGCGTGCGGGGACGACGCACTCGGCGGCTGGTGGCAGTTTCCCATTGGACGGCGGGCGGGTCGACGCCCCGCCCACGCCGGGGAGACAGGCAACCCAACTGCCGCCGGCGCCGGTCAGGAGGCGGTATCCAGGCGGAGAGGTAGAGGTCGCGGGTTCGATTCCCCGTAAGGCCCGCTCTTCTCCGCTGTCCAAAAGATTTTTCTTTCAGAATTACATTTGTTTTTTCCGCGGTTTGCGGGGAAGGCGAATTATTGGCGGCGAGGAGCGCGCTTCCGGTGAGACTGCGCGGCCTGCTGGCTTTTCCACACCCGTACGTCGAAGGTGCATTAATTAGCGCGCTCAGGTGTGCGAGTGTGCGAGAGTGTGTGCGTGAGAGTAGTCGCCATCGGTGACGTCATCAGACGCCGTACCGCACCGCGCAGCACCGCGGCGGGGAAAGGCTTTCGTCCTCATCCGTAATCCGGTTTAAATAATTACTCGAGCCGAGGGGCGATGCGGTGCGACGCGGCGGAACGCAGTAGCCTGTCGGCCTGCTGCAGCCTGCAGCCTGCTACAGGGTGGCCGGCCGGCCGGCGTGTCGGGTGTCGAGGGACCGCCCGGGGCACTCACTCTTTACGCATCATCGCTCACCGACTAGCACCTCGCACGCTCTCCCCATCTCTCTCTCTCTCTCTCTCTCTCTCTCTCTCTCTCTCTCTCTCTCTCTCTCTCTCTCTCTCTCTCTCTCTCTCTCTCTCTCTCTCTCCCCCTCTCTCTCTGCCCCTCTCGCGTACGCACACGCGCTCACTTTCCCAGTAGTGGTACTCTGCATTGCATTTCGCGTGACAAGATGTTCGGCGCACTTTGAGCACGAAACGCGTTTGAAATGGGGGCTCGTTTTGGCGCGCCTTTGGTCGCGCTGCCGGGATTTGCCGCAACGCCGCCTTGTCACGGAGTGAGCCTCTTCCCAGAAAAAGCGGGCGCTGAAAGTAAGCGTCGCCTCGCGGTGCGTTCGCCGGCATCTCGCTCTCTCTCTCTCTCTCTCTCTCTCTCTCTCTCTCTCTCTCTCTCTCTCTCTCTCTCTCTCTCTCTCTCTCTCTCTCTCTCTCGCACGCATGCGGCGTTCCGTAGAGGTGGGAGAGAGACAGAGCGACGATTCGCTGTGCGGAGTGAGGACGGCGAGGAGGTAACAGTTTGCCGGGGACGGGCCTCGGGGCCTCGGCGGGGCGCTGCACTGTGGGCCAGAAGACCGGTGGAGGCTGCCAAAACTCTGCACGCGTATTGAGCCCCAGAGTCTCTAAATGGGACTCGAACCGAACGTGTGACCCCACCAATGGATTGCTCTCCGAACGAGGAATCCATTGATGGGGTCACACGCTCGGTTCGAGTCCCATTTAGCGACTCTGGAGCTCAAAACGCGTCTAGAGTTTTGGCCGCCTCCACCGGCCTTCTGGCCCACTGTGCGCTCGGCGCGACCGCGTTTATAGCGCAGCGCCCGTCCGGTGCGGCTCCCGGCTACGCGATGACCCTCTACCAGTCGGTGCCAGCGGAAGGCTCACCGGAGAGGCAGGACTACCTCCTGCTGGAGCCTTCGTAGCAGTAGCTGCAGGACCTCCATGTTCATCCTGCGTTTAAGTCACCCTATGTTTCTTCTGCTGTGGCGTTGTCCGTCCCTTACTCACTCCTAAGGATATCCAAGCTCTTTGGTCAGCGACCCGGCGAGCACGCCAGACACACACTTTATTTCGTGACGAGAAACAATAAAGGAATACAATAATAAAATTATCAACAGGCAACACACGATCGACCCTAACAACTAAACCTATTGCTATCTAGAGCTGACTGATGCCGAGCAGTGTCGCTCTGTCTCTGTTGCACTCATGGGGCATTGCGCAGGGGTTGCGAGAGAGACGGAGCGACGAGAGCTCTGTTCGGAACCAGCCCTCTCTCGCATCGATTCGACTAGTAAAGTACGCTGTGCGACGCCGCGGAGTGCGCCCGGGAGGCAGGCAGCCCTTCGTGCGGCCGGGCCGGAAGGGTCCCCAGTGCAGCGGCGCCGGGGGCAGAGTCCGGCACTGCTTGAAGCTGCGGGGGAAGTCCGCGTGACGTGGCGGTGACTTGGCGGCAAAACGTTTTGGGTAACATTGTTGACGACAAGGTGCTGTGCTCCGGACGTCATGGCCAGCCAGGTCACCGCTGCCGCCAGGATTCCCACGACGGCGTGCTGGGCTCGCTGTTGGGAGGGGTCATGGTGTGCTCCGGGGCGCGCGCCGCAGCCGGCCTCCGCTGCTGCTGGAACTGTCGGCGTGTCGAAGAGTGCTGGCGGTGGTGAAGCTGCCCCTGTTTCTGGGGCGGCCGGTGCGGCGCGGCGGCGTGCTGCTCGCCGTCCTCCCTGGCGGCTGTCTCGCGGTGGTGCTGGCCGTGCTGACGGTGGTGCAGTACCTCCTGGTGGCGGTCGTCGGCGCGCTCCTCGTCGTCGGCGTGCCGGTGCCGGTGGCGGTAGTGGTGGTCGCCGTGCTTGTGCTCGCCCTTGCCGGCGGCGTGGCTCGCCGCGGTCGTCTTGGCCTCTGGCGCCTCCCGCTCCCTCTCCCGCACCGTCGTCGGCACCTCCTTGCCGTCCTCGAACACCTGTGGAAAGGACACGCCAAGAAAAGTCGTCATCGTTCAAACCTCACATCAAGTACATTTTATCAGCCGCGAGTAACTGTACTGTAAAAATAAAAGTATGAGAACCAAACGGAACGCACCTGCACCCGAATGTCGTCCAGCACGTCGTCGTCGTCGTCCTGCTTGACGAACGTCTGCGTGACGGCAGGCTTGACGTCGTTGGCGTGCGCCGCGCGGTACTTCTCGAAGCCGCTGTGGACCCAGTCGCGGATGCTGTCGGGCACGCCGTGCTCGTCGCGGTGCTCGTCGCGGTGGTCGTCGCGGTGCTCGTCGCGGTGGTCGTCGCGGTGGTCGTCGCGGTGCTCGTCGCGGTGCTCGGATGACGAGTAGTGCTTGTCCTCGCGGTGCTCGGATGCGTGGTGCTTCTGCTGCTTGTGGTGGTGATGGTGGTGGTGATGGTGGTGGTGATGGCTGCCGTGGTGCGAGTCCTCCGCCGGCCGCTGGTCGTGCGTCTGCCCCTCCTTGTGGGGCCGGGAGTGGTGCTTCTTGTGGTGGTGGCCTGCAGGCCTCGGCGTCGGCTCCGCGGGGCCCGAGGCCAGCGCCGTCCACCCGCTGTCCGACACGACGCCGGGGTCGGCGCCCTGCTCCGCCAGCTCGCCGCTGCGGCCGACCTGCGGACACACCTCGCTCTCTCACGCGCGCGCCAATTTACCAGTGCGCCAAGCAGCCCGCCTCCAGCGGCGCTACCCCGCCCGCGAAAAGCTTTATTGAGCCATCAGGTACGGACACGGTCATTTTGCACTGATGTACGACTCTAACCACCTACACGAGGCGAGCGGCGTCGCGTGCCCCCCGCCGAGGTCGTCCGGGGCACAGTGGGCCAGAAGACCGGTGGCGGCGGCCAAAACTCTAGACGCGTTTTGAGCTCCAGAGTCGCTAAGCAGGCCTCGAACCTTACGTGTGACCCCACCAATGGATTGCCCTCCGAACGAGGAATCCATTGGTGGGGTCACACCAGTGGTTCTCAACCTTAGGGTCGCGACCCCAAGTGGGGTCGCGAAAAAATTTTAAGGGGTCGCGGCGAGGTAGCTGGGGTCGTGTTTTGGGCCGATTTTAAGCAGCCACTGCGTCTGATCCGAGGCGGGCATTTTGCTCCCTCAACGGGCAATTGGTCTTTGAACCTTCCTTTAGCATGCCTTTGTTACGGAGTGTGATTATCAGTCTTAGTTTGGGAGCAGTATTGTCTCAAAGTTTACAAAAACGGTCAGAAATGTCTTTGAAAAATCGTGTTTTGGGCCGATTTTAAGCAGCCACTGCGTCTGACCCGAGGCGGTATTTCGTCCTCCTTCAACGGGCAATTGGTCTTTGGACCTTCCTTTAGCATGCCTTTGTTACGGAGTGTGATTATCAGTCTTAGTTTGGGAGCAGTATTGTCTCAAAGTTGGCCGAAACGCTCAGAAATGTCTTTGAAAAACCGTTGTGACTGTTTTGGTCAACTTTGAGACAATACTGCTCCCAAACTAAGACTGATAATCGCATTCCGTAACAGAGGCATGCTAAAGGAAGGTCCAAAGAACAATTGCCCGTTGAGGGAGCAAAATGCCCGCCTCGGATCAGACGCAGTGGCTGCTTAAAATCGACCCAAAACATGATTTTTCAAAGACATTTCTGAGCGTTTTGGCCAACTTTGAGACAATACTGCCCCCAAACTAAGACTGATAATCGCACTCCGTAACAGAGGCATGCCAAAGGAAAGTCCAAAGATCAATTGCCCGTTGAGGGAGCAAAATGCCCGCCTCGGATCAGACGCAGTGGCTGCTTAAATCGACCCAAAACATGATTTTTCAAAGACATTTCTGAGCGTTTTGGCCAACTTTGAGACAATACTGCCCCCAAACTAAGACTGATAATCGCACTCCGTAACAGAGGCATGCCAAAGGAAAGTCCAAGATCAATTGCCCGTTGAGGGAGCAAAATGCCCGCCTCGGATCAGACGCAGTGGCTGCTTAAAATCGACCCAAAACATGATTTTTCAAAGACATTTCTGAGCGTTTTGGCCAACTTTGAGACAATACTGCCCCCAAACTAAGACTGATAATCGCACTCCGTAACAGAGGCATGCTAAAGGAAAGTCCAAAGACCAATTGCCCGTTGAGGGAGCAAAATGCCCGCCTCGGATCAGACGCAGTGGCTGCTTAAAATCGACCCAAAACATGATTTTTCAAAGACATTTCTGAGCGTTTTGGCCAACTTTGAGACAATACTGCCCCCAAACTAAGACTGATAATCGCACTCCGTAACAGAGGCATGCTAAAGGAAAGTCCAAAGACCAATTGCCCGTTGAGGGAGCAAAATGCCCGCCTCGGATCAGACGCAGTGGCATGCTAAAGGAGGGGTCCCGTGGGGTCGTGAAACTTTTCCTGGGGGTCGCGGAAATTTTTGGCTACAAATTTGGGGTCGCGAGCCGAGAAAGGTTGAGAACCGCTGGGTCACACGTTCGGTTCGAGGCCTGCCTAGCGACTCTGGGGCTCAAAACGCGTCTAGAGTTTTGGCCGCCTCCACCGGTCTTCTGGCCCACTGTACCGGGGATCGCTCTGTCTTTTTCGCACCCACGCAGAACCCTAAGTGCAGCAGAGACAGAACGACGAAGGGCGATTCTTCGGAACCAGTCTGCTGACAGGGCCCGTAATGCAACACGGCGGTGTCGCAGGGGGCGGGGCCGGCGGGGTGGCGCGCGGGGGTGTCGGGGGCGGGCAGCAACAATGGGGGGCATGCCTGGGCATGCCGGGCGTGTCAACCGGCGGCGTGGCGGCCGCGGGACGCGCGTCGTACAGTGGTACACCGCGCCGCCGCGGCGTCGCCGTGGAGGCAATGCCCGGCGTCGGCGTGGACGGCGCGGACGGCCCGGCGACATTGCGCGGGTGAAAGCTCTGCCGCGCGGCGAGTACGCTGCAAGCCACTACGCTGCAAGCCACTACGCTGCAAGCCACTACGCTGCAAGCGGCCCCTGCCCTCAGAGGGGCGTGTGTTGTGCGCCTTCCCTGTCGCGCCCTATCGTTCCTGTCAATTACTCGGCAGGTTCCCGAGGGTCCTAGCGAGGTCCCAGTGAGGTCCTAGTGAGGCCCCGGGGGAGGTTCCCGACGGACACGCCGGATGCCCGAAAAGGAAGGCGCCGGCCATCGCGGCGCTTTTGGCGGGACGCGCGGGACGCCGCGACGGACTGGGTCGGAGGTCACAGGTGTGGCGGTGCCTCCCCCTCCCCCTCCCCTCCCTCAGGACGTCCCCACCTCGCGGTGCTGCTTTCTAGGATTCGGTTGCTTCCACGTGACACATGCAGTGGAGGCGACTGATTTCAGCGAGCGATCTCGAGAACGGCACGAAGTTGCGAGCGTTTTGCATGATCACTGTTAAAATTAACTTTAGTCAATATGACCGAGACTTTTCGTTTTCGTTACGATTTACTTTTGTTGACAGTGTGCTGGTTCGAAACGATATTGCAAAAAAGGGCATCAGAGCTCTGGAAAATGGAGAGGCCGGCGTCAGGTTCGCTGGTTGTACCAGGAGACTAGTTCGACTTGCCTTGGGCGAAGCAGTCAGGTGCAGCGCAGGTGCTAGCCGTTCCCACGACTTGTGTGTCCTGCCCATCTTGTAAATCAACGAAGGCCGAAAAGCGGATCCACGCTGCCGGGCCGCGCCGGGCGATAGCGAGGCTCGTTCGACACGACGGTCTTGTCCGCGCCCGGGCGCGGGCCTCGGGCCTCTCGGGCCTCGGGTGCGAGTGAGAGGGTGCGAGAGTTTTGCGCGGCGCCTAATTAAGATGGCGTATCTCCGCGGCGTGCTCGTCCCCGGCCCCTCGGGGCCCCGTGGGGCTGTGGGGCGTGGGGCGTGGGGCCCCTCTACGGGTGCATCCGCCTTCGGGCCCTTCGCACAGTGGGCCAGAAGACTGGCGGACGCGGCCAAAACTCTACACGCGTTTTGAGCTCCAGACTCGCATGGGACTCGAACCGAACGTGTGACCCTTCCAATGGATTCCTCGTTCGGAGAGCAATCCATTGGTGGGGTCACACGCTCTGTTCGAGTCCCGTTTAGCGACTCTGAAGCTCAAAACGCGTCTGGAGTTTTGACCGCCTCCACCGGTCTTCTGGCACACTGTGCTTCAGGCCCTTCGAGCCCTTCGGGCGTCTCCAGCCGACTTCGGGTGCTTCCGACGGGCATTAGCATGGTGCACAGCGAAACTACCATCAAACTACCGAGTGTGCGGTGTCCAGGAAGCGGTGCGCGCAGTACCCTCGGCGTCACGTCGCATAGTCGAGAAAGGAAGAAGACTGTGCCGACTTAACCAAAAACAAAACCAATTGTCAAGTAATCTAAAAATGTAAAAACATTTCTGAAAACCGATTTGACCTCCCATAGTTCGTCGCCATCAGTTTCTGTAAGGGTCCGGTTTTCGTCAAAGTTGTGTTCGTTCAAGTGCGTTGTTCTTCGTCACTAACTTTCCTGTTCGGATTTTAGCAGTCGACAAAGGACCCGGTCACTAGTTCAGTCTGGTGCAGGTGCTGGCAAAGGGACGACTTTAACGGAGTTCCAGGTTTGCAACGTGTCTCTCGCAAACGACAGAAAGTTGTTGCCAAACACATTGTTGTGCTAGCAACCCTTCCAGGCCGCTTCAGGCCGTTCACCAAACCTGGACTTGGGTTAGTGCCGCCCCCCTGGTGCTTACGTGCGTGTGGAAGGACCGCGACCCTGGCGTGGCCTTGGTGCCCCACGAGTGCTCCGTGAAGTCCGGGACCACGATCACGTTGGGCTTGGCCTCGGACCCGGCGGCCAGCACCTTGTCGTCGCCGTCCTGGTAGTTCTGGTAGTGGGCGTCCTCCTCGCCGCCCTCGCCGGCGCGGTGCAGGTCGTCGTCGAGCTCCTCCAGGTACTCGACGGGCTTGTGCTTGACGTACACCTTCTTGACGTGGTGGTGGTGGATGTGCTTGACCTTCTGCGGCACGAATACCACGATCTTCTTCCTGCGGACAGTCGGACGGAGACGCACGGCGCTCGTCAGCCGGGAGGCTTCGAACGTCGCTCTGTCTCCCTCGCACCCCTACGGGTCGCCCCGTGAGTGCGAGAGAGACAGAGCGACGAAAGAGCGGTAGCGCGGTGAATGCAGAGACGGGCAGCCCGGAAAGGCGCCGATGCCTGCGGAACAGAGTGCCAGCCTTTTCGGGCCGCGCGTAGTCACGTGGCCACGGTGTCACGTTGTCACGATGTCACGTCGTCCGCTCGGACGGGGCAATCGGTACGCGTCACCGATGGCGAGGCTGCGAACTTTATTTCCATACACTACCGGCAAATGCAAAAGGCGAGGAAAAGGTGGTCCGCTTTCCGCATTCTAAATCTTTCTAAATTTGTTTTTTCTTTTTTTTTTACAGAGAGGGCTGTCTACACTGAGAAAATTTGAGTCGTCACTTGATGACAATTTCAAGGCTAATTTTCCATACAACAAAGTCATCAAAACAATTGATGACATTGTTGTCACGCCCATGCAATAAGTATAGGAGCTTTGATGAAAATGTCATCAATTTATGATGAGATTGTCATAATTTGTAAGTGATGAAAATATCATCCACGTTTTTGTCATAAAGTGACAGCAAATTTTCACAATGTATGTAATACGAAAACGTAAATCACGCATGAATTCTCTGAAAACTAAAGGGCGTTTTTACAGTCGATTTTACAGAAGGGTCATTAAAAAAATTGAAAATGTTGCTTTGTTTTAAATAGGACATTTTTTTTATTTTTCGTGGTGTACCAGCCGGTGCCCTCGACCCGGATCCCAGATCGAAGGGCACACCTTATTGGCCGTGGCCAGCCGGTCCTGATAGATGGCGTCGGCCAGCGAACACTGCGAACGCTGCGAACACTGCGAACACTGCGAACGCTGCGAACAGCGCGCGGCCTGGGCGGGGCCGCGGGGCCGCGGGGCTGCCGCGGCGTAGCAGTGCGCCTTCATCAATAAAAGAAGGGCTCCGCGCACCGGTACGGTTTGATGTACAAGGAAGTGAATATGGAAAATTGAGCGAGCGAGTGGGTTGGGGTTGGAGGCTGAGGAGGAGGGGGGGGGGGGAATCTTCCAGGTACGGGCAACGGCGGGACATACGGCGCGGTCCACTATCAGTAGTCGATCTGCACGTGTAGACAGACCGTTCGGGATATGAAGGGAAATGTGGCTGAAGCCTGCGCAGCTTGCAAGCGGAAATGTCTCGTTGATTCGTTTAATTTATTTATTTGCATGTACTTTATTTTTCAGAAAAAAATTGTCTTTTACCATAGACGAGAAAAATTTCAAATTTTGGTTTCCTGAATTCAGTTTTTCTAAAGTCTTAATCTGATTATGTTCTGTAGCAAAAATATAACGTTTTCAACCTGTTTCCTTTTTTTTTCATTTCCCGGAGTCTGACGCGCGGACTAGGCAATTATTACAATCATGACGATATTCCCTGCCGGGGTGACACCGTCCTCCACTTTCGCTTGCTCCATATAATGAGGCGACAAAGTTGTTACCGCGAGAAAGTTACGTCACCCGCCATTATCGCCAGTCCGGCCAGCCGCGTGCGTGGCGCGCCGGACAGTGTAGTGGGAAGCTGAACCGGGAACATCTCGCCGACAAGCCGCCTTCAAATAGGAAATGACAAACCGACTTTCATCCTCAATTTTTTTTTCGTAGATTTTTTTTTCAAATTTAAGAAGTTTGAGAAAAATTAAAAGTTAGCTGTCTCTTCTTGTAAAGGGCTTCACTGAATGTCACGGGCGTTCTCTCTGTCTCTCTGTCTCTCTCTCTCTGTCTCTCTCTCTCTGTCTATGTCTCTCTCTGTCTATGTCTCTCTCTGTCCGTCTCTCTCTCTCTCTCTCTCTCTCTCTCTCTCTCTCTCTCTCTCTCTCTCTCTCTCTCTCTCTCTCTCTCTCTCTCTCTCTCTCTCTCCCCCTCCCCCTCTCTCTCCCTGTCTCTCTCTCTCTCTGTCTCTCTCACTCTCGAGATAAAGATGCCAGCCCGGCTCGGCGACTCTGGCTGCCTCCGACTCAGTCGGCCAGCAGTGTGCCAGCAGTGCGATGCAGATGCACCTGCCGTCGAGTCGCACTGTTTGCCTACCGGACATTTCAATTAGATGGGCGCTGGCTGGGGCCGAGGCAGCAGGCCCATTCCGAACCGCGCGGAGCTTTCGTCGCTCTGTCTCTCTCCCACTCGCAAGGCGTCCCGTATGGGTGCGAGAGAGACAGAGCGGCGAAACAGGAGACCGTTGTGAAGAGGAAAGGGATACAGGCGTTGGTCCCGATGCCGCAGCCGGCAGGCCCTTGGCTGACGGAGGCGCTGGTGAAACTGTCCCCAAAGCTTGCCTTTTCTCGACGAGGAAAAAATTCAAACGACACTAGCACTATACCGATCATTTTTGGTTTTTTGCAGTGTGGGCATTTCACCGATCGAAACGTGTGCGTTTTCCTGTTTCCTCGGAGCCTCAAACGCGAATCTCCGAGCACTCGCACGCGGAGAGAGAACCCTCGAGAGAACCGCTTGGCCAACTTTATGGACAAGAACGCGTCGTTCTAAAATTGGCGGGCCGCTCTGTCTCCGTCCGCTCCAGGCGGCGTCTCGCGGGCCGCGGCGCTAGCTATCCCCACAGTGTCTCTGCAGACCGATTGCGAGGGTCGTTGTCGTCGCTCTGTCTCTCTCGCACCTACACGGGACGCCCCATGAGAGCGAGAGAGACAGAGCGATGGACTCTCGGAACGAGACTTCCGAGTGCGGGAAAGGTCGGGACCAATGCAAGTCCAATGGCAACGGGAGGGGGGCCCTTCACGACCCGCCAGGCCCGCGAGTCCGCAGAGCGCAAAGGGGAGTTTCTCGGCATCGGATGCCAGCCGAGCGATTCAAAAGAGTCGTTTCGTCGCTCTGTCTCTGTCGCACTCACGGGGCCATCCGCTGCGGTGCGAGAGAGACAGAGCAGTGCCAAGGAGCCGGCGTCCTGCATCCCGCCATCTCAAGAATAATTAACACCCGCCGCTGGAATGTCTGCCCGACGGCCGTTTAACAGATCGTAAAAAAAACTTTAAAAAATTGTGAATATATAAAACGCATTGACCACTGTGAGAAAAAAGTACGGAAAAAGTACGGAACATGTCTGGTCAATAATTTGCCTGGACCGTCCGTACTTGCCAACTACGGAACGTTCCGTACCTTTTTTCCGTACCATTTACATGGGTTCATATGGAGCAAGTACGGAACGTTCCGTACCTTTCTCCGTACCTCCGTACTATATTTTTCTGTACCATTTCCGTACAAAAGTACGGAATTTTTTACAGTGACCGTTTCTTCGTCGTCGCAACGGGACGCCTGCCGCCCAGGCAACCCGCCTCGCTGGCGTGTCGCGCGGACGGGTGGGTTGCCTACGCTCGGTTCCACAGGCGTTTTGTGGGACGTCTTGTCAAGTGTAGTCTCCCGGTACAAAGACGCAAAAACAGAAAAAAAAAACAGCAGCATAGAACACGACGCGCATCCGGGATGAAGTTGGGCCGACCTGTCCGGCCCACTGTAAGAGTAAACAAGCAGGCATGCTGACCACGCCGCCCGACCATTAGCATGGCCTACAGGGAGGAGAGGGAAGGAGAGAGGAGGAGAGGGCAGTGTGCGAGGGGCCCGCGGTCAGGGGTCAGGCGGCGAGGCTCGGCGGCACCGGCGGCGCTCGCTCCGCTCTTCCGAAGCCCCCAAGCCCCCGAGGGGGACCGCGTTCGAATACCGGCGGAGGCGGTTTTCGTTTTCGTCGCGCAGAGAGACATGGAGAGGTGTGTCCGGTATGTCCTGCCGGCCATCCCGCGAGGGAATGCTGTAGCGCCCCGCCCCGCCCCGCCCCGCCCCGCCCCGCCCCGCCCCGCCCCCCCCGCCCCGCCCCGCCCCGCCCCGCCCCGCCCCGCCCCGCCCCCCCCCCCACCCCCCCCGCCCCGCCCCGCCCCGCCCCGCCCCGCCCCGCCCCGCCCCACCCCACCCCGCCCCGCCCCGCCCCGCCCCACCCCACCCCGCCTCGCCCCGCCATGCCTCCCCTTATCCGAACGAGACAAAGCGGCGAGGGCGCCACCGTCCTGACTGCACCTGCCGTTCCAACAGTGCAGTGGAAAAAAAAAACAGGAAAAAAATGAAAATAGGATTGGAACGCTACGTACCTTTTCCCTCCGGCCTCCGAGCAGACCGCGAGCAGCGCCACCGCAGCGAGGAGGAACCACACGCACTGTAAGGGCACGAAAACAAAGTCAAAGTCACTCAACTTTGTAGTGTTTTCAACTTTGATTCTTTAAAAAAGAGTCGTCGACGTTATGTGCGCTGTTGCCTCTTAAAAAAATGATATTTCGGAGGTGTATGTGTGTGATTGTTTTCCCCACCCTGTTCGGTGCCGGGAGTCGAACCCGGGCCCGGCGCGCGCCTTGCCCACAGTGGCGAAGCAACAATTACCGAGGAGGCTCGCGTCTCAGTTTTGTCGGCGCGCTACTGTGCGGTGCGCCGTGGCTGGCCGTGACTGCGCGGTGGCGCTCGGCACGGCGACGCGACCATAGCGCACCAAGCGGTGAAAGTCGGTAACGAATCGACCCATCATTACCGCGACCATCGCAATGCCACTGAGGCAACCGAGGCAAGGCGGCAAGGCGGCGCCCCGGGGCTCTGGAGTCCGGAGGCACCCTGCCAGCCCTGCAAGCCCTGCCCGCCGGCCCACAGTGGGCCAGAAGACCGGCGCAGCGGCCAAAACTCCAGACGCGTTTTGAGCTCCAGAGTCGCTACATAGGACTCGAAACGTTCGTGTGACCCCACCAATGGATTGGTCTCCGAACGAGGAATCCATCGGTGGGGTCACACGTTCGCTTCGAGTCCTGTTTAGCGACTCTGGAGCTCGAAACGCGTCTAGAGTTTTGGCCGCTGCGCCGGTCTTCTGGCCCACTGTGCGGCCGCGGCGTTTA